TCATAATTACTAGTTTTGCGAGCGGTTTTGCCTTTGGCTTGAGTTAAAGATTGAACGGTAAAAATAAATAATTTAACCGAATTTTTATCAGTAGTTTTGGCGGTGTGAAAATTTTTGATATCAATAATATACGGTGGTTTGATAGTTATTTTATCAGCCAAAGAATTAGGTTTGTTAAGTGAAAAATTGTTAATGGTCTTTTCTCTGATTATTTTTCCAGGAGCCACAATTAGAAAATTAGTTATCTTTTCGGTTTCAGTTAAATAGTTTAAGATAGTGGCAATTATGTAAGTTTTTCCGACTCCAGTGGCTACGGAGAGAATATATTCTGATAATTTTTCAGGATTATTTTCAGAATTGTAATAATGTTCTAAAAATGTTTGAACTGCTTCTTTATTGGGTTGGCGAAGTTCTAGTTTTTTGGAAATGTGTTGAAAGGACAGTTTGTCATTCTGCTTCATGTAAGTTTTTCATTCCAACTCGTCTCTTAATGTCGGCTCATCTTCTTCTGCATCTTTTGCTTTCTCGAATGTTTCTTCCTCTTTTTCCTCTATTTCTTTTCCGTCATTTTTAGCAACCTCTGAATTTTCCTCAGATTTTTTTTCGGGTTCATTTTCAGACCACAAATTTTCTTCCGTGTTTCACTCGTGATCTTGATTATGACTAATAGGTTCAAGTTCTATTGTCTTTCCCAAATCATAAATACTTTCGCTTTCTAAATTCTTATGAATTCTCTTATTTCCTAAAAAATCATTAATCGAGGAACAATAAAACTGTTAATTGTATCCTCATTTTTTTCCACAATAACTCACTTTCGCTTTAATTTTTGAGCCACTGCCGCGGTAGTTCCTGAACCAGCAAAATAATCTAATACGATATCACCCTCATTAGTAGCAATTTGGATAATTCGTTGTAATAATCTTTCTGGTTTAGGAGTAGAGAAAGGATTAATTTCAGGGAACAAACCAATAATTTCTTTTTTTGATTCTGTTGAGTCTCCTACTTCCTCTGCTAATCATAAATTTTGTGGAACAATATCTCCCACCTCACTTAAAAAACGTTTAATTGCGGGTGCAGAATCTCCCTTTTTTCCTCAATAAATGCGATTTTCATTGATTAATTTTTCCCATGTTTCTTCAGAATAAGCCCAAGACCTTCCACCGGTTGGAACAAAAACTTTCCCCGTTGGTCCTGTAATAGGACGACATTGACTAGGGTTGCGGGGAGGTGCCTTAGCACATGGATCTCCTCTCATTCACGGTCCACGCGGATCATTATCATAATTTTTATAGGCCTTATCGTGGCGTTCGCTTCTTGGCAAGCGATTAATTGAAAAAATATCAGATTTGCGGTAAATCAAAATGCAATCATTATCAATCGAAAAATACTTTCTATCACTACGAGGCGAACGAGTTTTTTGCCAAATCACAGTTGCCACAAAATTTTCTTTCCCAAAAATTTCATCCAAAACTAGTTTAAAATGATATAATTCGGTATCGTCTAAATGAACTCACAAAGAACCATCATCACTTAATAACTCATAGGCTTTTAGCACTCTATCCCGCATCATAGTTAATCAAACTGAATGCTCCAATTGGTCGTCATAATTGGTAAACATTTGTCCGGTATTAAAAGGCGGGTCAATATAAATTAACTTGACTTTATTCACATACTTTTGCCGATATTCGGGGATTTTATTTAAACTAGTTAAGGCATGTAAACTATCACCGCAAATTATTAGGTTATCACTAGAATTATCGCCAACTTTCTCCATTTCTTTTAATAATCCGACTTCCGAAACCCGATAATCATTTGGCTCTACTCATTCATATTGACCTTTGTCATAGTCTTTAACAATTAGAGTTTTATTTTTGTTAACTCAGTTGAGTTCTAATTTACCGGACAGTTTTACCGTTTTGCACCATATTTTTAATTTTTTAAACTAAATGAGTTGTGAGTGTCAAGATAATTTTTTCTTTCTGAACAAAAAATCCTATAAAAAAACGAATTGTTTCTCTTGACTTTTTTTCATTCATTCAAAAGTTTTAACCTTCTTTAACATGTTTTCTAACCTTAACACTCATGAGATTTAATTGCTTCTGCCATTTCTTTTTGTTCTTTAACTTTTAGATATTTCTCTGTTAATTGGCAGTTGTAAGTTCAGCCACAACGCGGACAGATTGCTTCAACAAAATTATCTCCTTCTTCTCCTCCTTTTCATTGAAACCCTTTATTAACTAATTTATCCATTAACTCAGTTTTAGCCTTAGGAAAATATGTTCCTAAATGAGTAGATTTATTTCTATCTTCTCAGATATCTTTCAGAGTTCCCTCCCAAACTTCATCTTTTTCGTAGCCAAAAGTGGGGTGTTTTCAACTACTCGGAAAGTAATCAAAATATTTAACATCTTTGGCACTGGCGGGTAATTGAATTAAAGGAAGTTTAATTGGTTTTCATTCTTCTTTGTCAGCATCTTCGCAACAACCAATAGATTGAAAATAAATAGTTGCTTTATTATCTTTCACTTCTCCAAGGATTTCAATATATCCATCGGCTAATTCACTTTGGAGTTCCCGCAAAAGGACTTCATTATGATGACTATATTCAGTATCTTTGATAATGTAATAACCTCTTTTTGAAAGTTCTTTTTTTCAATATTTAACTAATGCTTCTTCTTTTTCTTGCTCATCCATTTCTTTGGCTTTTTCTTGGCTAGGATAAATCTTGATATACTTTCCGCACTTTGGACAAGAATAATTGGCTTGAATTATATCTTTATTGCTCAAAACATGATATTCTTTTATTATTACTTGGCAACAATCTGATAAAAAATTATCTATTTCGGTAACTTTTTCTTTTCCTTTGTTAACAACAAAATCTTCTTTCTTCAAATCACTAATGCTAGTTTTTATCAGCAATACCTTTTCGTGATGTTGGTTTTCTACGGTCGGATAATGAGGAGCACAGACGATAACATTAGGAATACCTTCTGCTATGTTTTTACAAATATTTGGGTTATCATCGATTATCACATCAAAATCCGCAGTATTTTTCTTTATTCAGTCAGCTTTATTAGTTCCTTTTTCTTCACTATCAAAACCAACCAATTCTAAAGAACAATTAGCGAACTTACCAAAAGTTTCTTTAAATATTTGCTTTTTTCTGGGGTCTCCGTTAGGGAACTTTCTTTTATCATAGGCAGAAAGGAAAATGATTTGTTTTGCTTTGTTTTCTCGGATTAATTTTAATAATTCTTTGGCGATAGTTAAGAATGGTGCTTTTTGATAGAATTCGGGAGAGTTTTTGATTTCTAATTGTTCCTTGGCAAAAAGGTTGCTAGGTATCAAGCGGGAGCCATAAGGAGAATATTCAATTATTTTTTCATCCCAGCAATCTTTAAAAAATTGAGAAAAATCTTTATCTGTGGGATTGTCAATTGCTTTTCATAAAGCATAAGGTTCATGGGGTTGAATTACTTCGTCCCAATCACAGACTATTTTTAATTTCTGGGCATTGTCTTTGAAGTGAGAGTAGAGACAGTTAATTATTTTTTTCTTTTCGGCTAGTTGCTCATTCATATAATTTAGATTTTGTCCTTTTAGTTTTCTTTTGGTTCTTTCTTTTCTCTCTCGCGAATTTTTTTAATCTCTACCGCTATTAGTTTTAGGCTTTTGGTAATCAATTCTCTAAATTTATAATCGGTTAGTCGGGGGTTAAAAGCCTCGCCAATAGCATTAGAATTAATCGGTTCTTTTCAAACATGCTTGGGAGTTCCTTACTCCACTCCATCTTCTTGGATATCTCTAAATATAACTCAAAAGCATCCGTCGCTTCGGCTACATCTTAAACTTCAATACTTTAAGTCAGGCACTCCTAATTTCTCAGAGAGTTTTTTTTAATAGTCGCATTCTTCCAATTTGCTTTTTCTTACTCCGCAATTCTCATTATCACAAACTTATGATAGAGAAACTAGTCTCATTAAAAGCATCGATAGGGGAAGTATCATGGTAAACTTCTTTTTCAGTCATTTTTCCCTCGCAACTTGGTCTAGAACATTTTTGGTTCTCTTGGTTGTTATTCATTGCCTTTTGATTTGGTTTTTTGGAATTTTTTAAGTAATTCCTTTAACTCTTTTTCGGTTAAATCGTTTACTATTCTATCTTTTTCTTGTTTGCTTCACCGCTGAATACACAGGATTAAAGTGTGATTGTCTCCTTTTTCTCCTGGCTTACGATAACTCGCTCGATAACCTTTGGTCGCATAACTACGGCGAGGTGCTTCGTTTAGATGAAACCCACACTCATCTAGTGCTAAAACGGAAGAAGTTAAAAGTAAAGGTTCAATCATAGACTTAAAACTTTTAATTTCCTTAGCATATTTCAGTTGGTTGGCATAGTGATAAGTAATTTTCTTATTAGTGATGTTGTATTTTTTTAATGTTCTCGAAACTGCTTGCTGACTTACTTCTAAACCTTTTTCTTTTAATAAATAGTCTGCTATCTCTTGCTGGGTTAAATTATTGCCTTTAAAGATATGGAACATTAGGGATATGAAATCTTTGAGAGGGATTTTTGACTTGCGACCTGTTTTTTGCTTGTGTTTGTAGGGAGGTTCGCTCTTTCACCTCCTGATCGTTCTTTCATTCCGTAGGTAAATATCGCCAATGTCTTTTTGGGTGAGACCTTTTTGTTGAAGTTGAATTATTTGTTGGGGTTGTAGTATGTTCATAGTCTTTAATATATACTCTGTATATATTATATTTTAAGGAAATAGGTGTGGGGATTGATTAGCAATTTCTATTGAAAATTAGTTCAAAAATTCTATTCTAGAACTTATCCTCTCTGTTTTCATCCTCAATAAAATCACTGTGAGGCAATGGATTAAAATTTTCGTAAGCATACTTTCGCCAATGAGAATTAACTAGATAGGAATGGTGCTTTACATATTCTTGATATCATTCCTTGCGTTTATGGCGTTCATTCTCGGATATTTTATCCCATTTGCCCCATCTATTAATCAATTCTTGGTATTCATTACAAATTTTTCTCTTGGGTAATAATCTATCTAACTCCTCTTTGTCCTTTCTTTTGAAAGCAGAATGATATTTTCTTTCTATTTGAGGACAAACTTTAATAATTCTCCTCTCTTCGGTAGTAAACTGGTTATCATAATCAGTAATGTGTCCTACCTCATGAGTTATTGCGTGAAGAAAATTTTTCTTACTTCGCAAAGTATACCAAGGTATATTGATTTCTCCAATATTATCATAAGTTCAACCTCATTCTCACCTACTGTTTTTAGAAATAGGTGTAGGAGGATGATTTACTTCTATTCTTCTATCAGGTAAGCAATCATCAATCATTTTTTTAGTTATCTCTTCATGTTCCTCCTCTAACTCTTTAGCAGAACAATTGCTTAAACAGTTTGCCCCTTTTCCCTCGGTAAATGTCGCTGAACAACTAGGGCAATTTAGAACTTTTTCCTTTTTTTCTTCATCTAGAAAATACATAGTGGTAAATTAGCGTTTATTTTCCAATTTTGTTGAATTTGCTACCAATTCATCAATCTCAATCCAATTCTTTCTTTTATAGCACTTAAAATGGTAAATACTATCTTCTTGGCTAGAAACTCTTTTTTCTCCTTTTTCTATTATTTCCCTATCAACAACACAAAAGGTAGGTTCATAAAAATCTCCTATCTTAGTTCTAATGATTGATTTTTTGCAAAAAACGCAAATATTTTTTCTGCTCATAGCATTTATTTCTATAATTAGATTTTAACGACTTCTTCTTCCTCTTTTTTTACCTTTTTTCCCTCCCATAGCAAATTTTCTCATTTTTTCCGCAGTTGTCATACCAACTACTTTACGAACTCACTTTTGCTCGGCTGGTTGGTTAAAAACTCCAAAACTACTCATCCGCCTTGTATTTTCTGCCATTTGGTTAAACACAAATGATTGGGCATTACGATTACCATGTAAGAAAGTGTTCTGACTGGGAATAGTGTGTTTAGGTCTACACTTTTCGCACCTGCCACAGTTAGTTTGTGGAGGAGGACAAGAGCAATCAGTAATTATTTTTTGGCAGTGGACTGTTTTTACCTGATCATTGCCACAGTGTCAGCATTTGGCTAGTTGTTTGGTTTCGGCACCTCTTTGACAGTAAGCACAATCACTGCTGCCTCGGCTTTTATCCTCTAATCAGTTTACTTCACTTTCGGGTTTTAGAGTAGCGTGATAGTCAGGCTCTTCCGTGCTTTCAGGCTCTTCTGGTTTCCGCTGACCTTTACAAGAACAAGGTAAATTCAAGTCAAGGCGGTCTCAAAATTGACAATGCTCGCAACCTCCTCCCTCTTTTTCACATTTACATTCTTTACAAGCCTTTTTGCAAACAGGACAAGTTTTTTCATGAGTGGGTGTTTCTGACTTAACTTCTTCTAAATCCAAAATAAATTCCTCAGGTTCGTAAAAAATATAGACTTCGCTTTCCTCCTTGATGGTTTGAACTATCTTTTTACCCAAAAAATCATACTTCTTGCCCACTTGGAGTTGAACTTTACCGATAATTGGATGGTTAGAGGCAATAAGGATAAAAATAGGCTTATCATCCTTTCATTTAGCATCCATGCGAGAAAAAGCATAATAAGAATGTTCGCCCTCTAATTTTTCTTTATATTCTAACTCGCAACTAACTGATTTTAAGTGTTCGCGTAAGTAAATGAACTTTTCGCTGAAAAGGCTGTAATAGCGAACTCAAAACTCATTGCTGTCGGGGTTGCTGATCTCAAACTTTTCTAATTTTTTAATGTCTTCCTCAATTTGAGGAATGGTTTCATATTTCTTATTCTTTACCTCTTCCAGTAAGTTATTTACTTCGGATAAAAGATTTAATTGCTCTTCTTTTTTAGTCTGATAATCGGTAATTGCTTGCTGATTGGGTTGGGATTGGATAATTTGTCCGTAAATGTTGTTTAAAGTTTGTTGTTGCTGGGAATTAGTGCCTTGGATTTGAGGAAGTTTATTTTTTAGTTGCTGAATAGCACTATTTTGAGCGGATTGGAGAGAAGAGTTGGTTGTTTGCTGTCCGTTTTTGCTCTCTCTCTCTCTCTCTCTCTCTCTCTACATAAATTACTATTCCTACTATTCCGAGAATAATAAGAACTCCGAGGATTAGAGCGATAATAATTGTCTTCTTACTTTTATTGGCTTCTGGGTTTTTATTCATAGTTAAGTTTTAAATAATTTTACTAAAATATTAATATATCTCAGATAATAATGGCAAAAGCAAAAAAAAATAATCAAATAAAAATTACAGTTCGTGGTTATGATGTAGCGACTACTGAGGAGGCTATTCGCTTAGTCAGCGAAAAGATTTCCCAACTTAAATTAAGTTTTAGCGGTCCAGTTCCTCTACCAACCAAAAAAAAAGTTATTACGGTTCCAATTTCTCCCCACAAGCACAAGGATGCCCAGGAGCAATTTATTCGAGAAATTCACCAGCGAGTAATTCATATTTCAAACATTTCTCCCACTGATTTAGAATCTTTGGAAAAATTGAAGGTTCCTAATACCGCCCATTTGGAAGTAGAAACTTCTCTTTAACTTTTTCTTTTTGCTCAGTAAGTGCGAAATAGTTTAGTTGGGATATAATAAGTCTTATCTCCAATGCGGAACTTTTGTCGATTAGTGGCAAACTTCCTTTTAGTGGCTCGCATCGAAAAGGAACGATTATTTCCGGCTAACGGCTTACTTTTTTTACTTAACAATTTTTTTATTTCTTGATTTTTCATATGAACTTTTTTCAATGACTAAGGCAAGGTTATGGATATTTACTCCTTTTTCTCGCCTTCTTTCTTATTATATTAATTTTAGTATTTTTTACTTATCTAAAAAGGTTTCGGTGGGGGAAGTTGGAGTTAAAAAATTTGCTTCGCGACCAAAAAAGGCTGGAAAATAAGTTGAAAATTAGAGAAAAAAAGTTAGCAAGTGCTAGTCGGCAATTAACGATCGACCAAAAGAAAAATGAGGCAAAGGAAAAAAAAATACAACAGGAAGAAAAGAGAATAGGTGAATTCGCTAATCAATTGTTTCGCAAGGAAGAGTTATTCACTCAACAGTTGGAGTTAAGTTCTAAAAAGGAAAAGCAAGTTCAGGAGGAGATGGAAAGACTTAATCAAATAAAAAAACAGTTAGTGGATGGATTAGGAAAAATAATTCCAATGAGCAAAGAAGAAGCCAAGAAAAATCTTTTAGTTTTGTTAAAAAAAGAAGTTGATAGAGAGTTAGAAAGGTATAAAGAGGAAGAAATTAGACGGGTGGAAAGAGGAGTGAAGGAAGAGAGCAACAATTTAATT